TATATTTTTCTAGTGCAACTGGTTGATAATATTTGTTTGATTCCTGCCTGAGCTGATTACCCATGGCAGACATGTTGGACCGGGTAAACTATAACTAAAAAAATAAAAAAATTGAATTTAAATTGAAACTAATTTACGGCCTAGATTGATTGGAACCGACAGTTCACATGTTCTTAGAATTTAGTCCAAGGGAGAAAAACAATGGACATCTTACTAGAAATTTAGTCTAAGGGAGAAAACAATGGTTTCGACTAGTAATTTGCTCTTAATGAACTGCCGCCTTTTGCTTTAAGTGCTTTGAAAGCTCACGATGCACGTATGGTATCGAGATTTGCTGTGTTGTTTTGATTGTTATTTGCTCTACCCCCTTGTCGACATTTTATTTTATTTTTCTAAATATTCGTCTGGATAATGTTTTAGTCAAGCTCAATGCCAATCGTTTGGTAATCGGGACCCTCCGTGGATTTGATCAATTTATGAACTTGGTGATTGACAACACTGTGGAAGTCAATGGGAATGAGAAAACGGATATAGGCATGGTGGTTAGTATCCAAATTTCGATCCTTTAATTCGTTATTTTTATTATTCCTTTACTTTTGTTTGTTGAGATTGTGATATTTGAGTTTTATATTTCTGTTCTTTTTTTTTTTTATTTTTTTTTTCTTTTTGCAGGTCATCAGGGGAAACAGTGTGGTCACTGTTGAAGCACTCGAGCCAGTTGCTAGAGCTCAATGATTCGTGTACATTTTCTTTTCGAGCCAGATTGTGTCGAGACTCGTGTTTGTTGCTTTTAACTGTTTCTTCTGAAACTGTAACAAACTGTTTTCGATTTAAATTCAACCGAGCGATTTTTAAATGTTAGGCGTGAGACTACTTGTTCTTCTGGTTTCTGAGAAGTGCTTGCTAAGGTTATTGTTCTTTTGGATTGTGTTCTCCCTCTCATTGAGTGAGAATATTTCACCTCAAAAAGTGCATTTTTCACCTCAAAAATCACTTGTGTGTTCACTTGCTCTAACCTTCCTTCATTACACCTATCAGACAATATAGCCCCGCTCACCTGCCCACGGTGGGCAGTGCCCACTACTTTGTTTTATATGTTTTATATGAAAAAACGTATTCTGAGAATACGTTTTTCAATTAATTTAATTGAAAAACGTATTCTCAGAATATGTTTTTCATATAAAACAAAGTGGTGGGCACTGCCCACCGTGGGCAGGGGATCAAAATTTTCAGACAATAACCTTTGTTTACCTTTTTTTTTTCCGAAAAAAAAATTATAATTATAATTATGGGTTGTTCATTGTTTCAATAAGATTTACTGCCTGGCAATCCACTTGGACCACTTATATCTCTACATATTTTGCTATTATTTTTCTACGAGCTGCTTTCTTTTATTTGAATTTATTGAGATAGCTTATACAAGTGATGATGATGCTGATATTTCAATATTTAGGGTTTTCTCTTTATTTTTATTTATGGTGCTATATATGTATTCATTAATATTTAGGAGTTGAGTTCTAAAACGAAACGAGTCGTTCGTGAGATCGGTTCGTCCGTTGAGACTCGAGTTCGAGCTCATTTAAAACTTGTTAAACTAACGAAGAATTTTTTATGTAGTTCGTTGAGGCTCAAGTTCATATCTTAATATTGTTCAAAGAGTTGAGCATCAACTCGTGTAGTTAACGAGACGAATTGAATTCAACTCGATAAAGATATCAAGCATGAGCTTATGTAGCACGAGCTCGAACTCAGGTCGGCTCGATTATACCTCTGTAATCGTACCGTTTACTGCCTTTGCTCTGTTTTTTCAATCTCGATGGATCATTTTTATGTTATGGCATGAATTTCAATTGTGGATTTTGTTAACCCAAAAAGAAAAAAAAAAAAAAATATTAGCCAATAATGTAAACACTTTATCCAAACATTGTAAAACTCACTAATTATTAAATATTTATTATATTTAGTATAAGTTTGTTTATATTTTACCCTAGGCCAATTAAATTAATTAGTTGAAATTAAATTACACTGCCGCCAATTTGAGTTCAAATTTTTGAACAGTGGCTTACTCACAAGTCACCAACGGACACAATGACTGCTCGGAGCGTTTGGTGTATGCTGTGTTTGCTCCCTTTTTCCGGCCATTGGAAAAATAAAATTTGCTTTTGCTTTTTAACATTGATTTGTTTATTTCGAGCTGTCCATTTTGCCTGTTACATCCCTTTTTCATAAGAAAGCAAAAAGTTATATATCTATTGTCAATACAAACATGTATTTTACATTGATGTGCTCGAGTGAATAGGTCGTCGAAGTTTTCGGTTGAACTAACTTATATTGATGTGCTCGAGTGAATATGTCATCGAGTTTTTCGGTTGAACTATCTCATCTCGAATCATTCAGATTGAACTGTATTGGCTCGGATCACGAACATAGTAAACTTAAATATCTTATTTATAAGTAATAATGACTCACTCGATGAGGAAAATGGGATGACATTTTCTTATTGTTCAAATAATAATATATATACTTGAATATTGTTTACGAATATTATGCAAATCTTAGTGGATATTCAATGAAATAACATTTATTCTAACAACACAGAGAGTATATTCGTTTGAAACTCTTACAGATTTTTTAAGGTTTTAATTCGATGTATTTAATAACTTTGACTTTTTAAAAATATTAAAAATCTCGTGGTATTCATTTAAAATTGTAAAGAGTCTTACAATTTTTTGAGTTATTTCCACAATGAATACAGTGACTTGATTTTATAGGAAAAATGAAATACAACTTCCTTTTTTGTGGAAGTATAAATGATAGTCATTTTGTCATGTGCAATGACACAATTACCCTTACTACCATAAACACTTCTAGGATTTTGAGATTAAAAAAATAGTTTTTCGAACACAAACAATGTCTAGAAACCATTTACAGAATCCCAAATTTCAAAATACGGTTTCTAGCAGTAAGAGTAATTGTGTCATTGCGCAATGCAAAATGACTATTATTCATAATTCCAAAAAAAGAAAACCGACGACGTTCCATTTTTTACACAACGATAAGACTATTCACTAATATTACCACTTAATGTTATGTATATAGGTCACACCACACATTATATATGTTTTCATTTAAATATAAAATATACTATCTAAGATTTATATGGATGAAACAATATTACTTATTACTATATATCCATATACCAAGTCATAGGTTACGATTGATCAGTAATGCTCACCTACCCACGGTGGGCACATGTTTAATATGCTCACCGCTTATGTGGCATTACTCATTGGTGATGTATTTTTTTGAACATATTAACATCACCAATATGTGCATGCCACATAAGCGGTGGGCATATTAACATGTGCCCACCGTGGATAGGGGAGCATTATCTTACGATTGATTTAATTAAAGACAAGCATGACTAAAATTTAACATTTTTTTCTATTTTATTATTTTATTTTTATATATTTTTTCAATTAGGTCAAAATTGTGGGAATCTTTTTTTATTCATAGTATTTGCATGGCAGAAAAAAAAATGATAGGGAACTTCCTCTTAGACTCTTTTAGTCATTAAATGGTCTTCGTTGTTGATTGTGGAAAATCTAATTTTTTGACAGCGTAAGATACGAAGAATCATTTAATGTAGAAATAATTTACACACTTATCTTAATTAAGTTGCATGCTAAAATTATTACGATGGGAATAAATCAATAAATATAAATTTGGTCAAATGTATGAAATTGCGTACGTATTTAGTCATTTACTCAGGCCTTAATCATTGACTTACCTATGTGGGTGAAAATAGTTAAAAAAAAAAAAAGACTTTTTTCCAACAATTTTTTTTTTTTTTTTTTTTTATTAAATTTGAAATTGCTAATCCGCTCAATTTTCCATTCAAATTTGTAATTGACGTAATTAAATTTATTGTCACATGTCTAAGGGCTATATCGACACGATTGACATTCGTTCGGTCGTTTAACCTAACGTCCGGTATATACTGATCACGACTCATGGTCGAAATTTGTTACATTACTTAATCTTATACACAATTTGTCAACCAAAATAATAAAATAAAAAATATATAAAAAAACAATCACATTACGTCATTTTACTTTAACTTTATTTCTTCATGTATACATTTATTTGTTCACACACACATACACACACACGTATATATAACAGAAGACCTACTGATGTGCATATATTGATAAATTACGTCTTTTTTATTATTAGAATATCTACTTGTGAGTTGTCCAACATCGTCTATATAGGGAAAATAAGTCTAATTTATAAGTCTAATGTGTTACTCCTATCACCAATTGGTTTTGGGATGGAACCTCACTTGAGTTTTATCTGAGCTTTCCATGTCTTGGTGCTTCACGTGCGTGGGACCGCACCTGTATCTTCATCGTTTCTTACACTGATCGTTAGAGTTGTTATACGAAAAGAACCGCTTGTGAGCTCAAACTCGGACTTGCCTCGCCCCGTTGAGGTTCGAGCTTGACTTCCCAAAGCTCATATTAAGCTCGATTAGTCAGCAAACTGAATTCAATTTGGCTCGTTGAAATCATCTCATTAAAAGACTCTAGTTTGACTCGTTATATATTGGGTTTCTACTAATACTACTCATTAACCATCTTACCAACA